TGTAATGTGATATAGTGTGATATAGTGTGATGTGATGGTATGTCGTAAAGTGATATAGTGTGATGCTATGGTATGATGTAATGTGATATAGTATGATGCTATGGTATGATGTAATGTGATATAGTGTGATGTGATGGTATGATGTAATATGATATAGTGTGATGTGATGGTATGATGTAAAGTGATATAGTGTGGTGCTATGGTATGATGTAATGTGATACGATGTGATGGTATGTGATGGTATGATGTAAAGTGATATAGTGTGATGCTATGGTATGATGTAATGTGATACAATGTGATGGTATGATATGGTATGATGTAATGTGCTATAGTGTGATGGCAATCATATTATTATACTAGTACTGGTATTTAGTAAATGTGATGTGATGTGGAAAACAAAATATAGGAATTTGTACGATATTTATTTCTCAGGAATAAGAAAGCTGATTGGAGATGAACAGAATAATGGTTGGTTAAAGATGGTGGAGAAAGACCATTTCTGTGCAATAGAAGTGGTGAAAGGAACGGATGATTCCATGGTTCCAGGAAAAGCTAGCAGCAAACCAGTACCAGTAAGTACAGAGGATTGTATACCTACCGGTATTATTAATGTAACAATTCAATCATCAATTTCTATAATTTCAGTTGAACAAAATGTGATACAATTGTATTTTTTTAATATAGGCTCTACAACTAAGTAGATCTATAGATGTAACAACTATAGCTGACAGGTAAATATAATGTCTCAGTTAAAGCTGTGTTATCTGATATATTTGGTTGTAGCATTTGGCATATGTAGTAGTATGTTTTTATTTATTTTTATATTATATATATTTCGCAGTGATGAGCCAGTTTTTCCTCAACATCGTCATCACTTAAGTGGAAAACGTAAGGTTATACCGAGGAGAAATCTAAATAAACTTAGTACACCAGAAGGTATAGATGTAATATTAAAAGATGGAGACATTACCCAGGAACAGGTAAGTGCTACATTGTTAACTACACAATATTGAAAGATTATTATAATAATTTGCCAAACTAACCAGAGCTGTTTGATCAAGTCTTAATTAAAATGATGTATCACATCAAAATTGACCTAATTCCATTTCTTTCTAAACAGATGCTGTTGGGAATGAAGCAATTCAATTTTTCTGGTTTAACTTAGCCAACTAAATTTTGTCTTAACATGCATACCATGATGAATCTGTTGTTTTGATTTTGGTGTTTTAATAAAACTGATTATTATATCATGATCATGAAGTTTTATTGCATGATAATTACATGTATCATCTGTATTATATTCTGTTAGGCCGATGTATTGGTGAATACGTGTGGTTCTGATTTTAAACTGACTGGTAGTGGTGGTGTTGCAAATGCATTTGGTGTTGCTGGCGGACCAAAATTACAACAGGTATGTTCTATTAATATATAATAATTCCAGTCCTATCATTCTGCCTTGTGTCCTTTATCAAGTATGATGCTTTTTGTTATAGTGTCAACTTTTCATTGTCTGCATTTATTAAATGGACATTTTCATTGTTTAACCCTTAATTTGAGTGTCAAGTTCTTTTCTTGCTCAAACTATAGGGTTAATTTGTTCATATTTTCTGTATTTTTCACTGAATTCAATCTTAATTTTGAACCAAACAGAAAAAATGTGATATTGCTTCTAGTTTTTGATCAAAAAATTTGAAATTTTTGTCAACATTTCATGTGGAAAAGAGTAGACTATAAATGGTACTATTTAGTTAGATTGTGTCTGAAGTTGAAGCTCAAAGGGTTTAAGCTGTCCATTTTACTAGACTAGTGAATCTGGGTTTTAGATGTTTCTTTAACGTTGTCATATTTCTTACTCATTACAGTATTGTGCTGATCTTGGTACTGCCAGCAAAGGCAGTGTCATGGAAACTGACCCTGCTGGTATTTTAAAATGCAAGTCTATATATCATGCTGTGACACCGTCCACATCATCAAATGGAGAACAAAAACAGGTATATAAGTACTTGTGACGAAAATTTTACATCTATGGGGAAAAGTCTAAGAAAGAATTGTTAGGCTGTAAACTCCAGTGTTAGTGAAAGACCGCATTCTATTGGTCCATGAGTTTTTGTAAGTTCACTTTTTGCATTTGCGCATGCGTGCATAATAAATTAGGGAATATTCCTGTATTCCGTTAACCGTCAAGATGGCTCGTGTTATTGTTATTGTATAGTATCCTCTTCTTATTTCCCCCATCGACGCGAGTAACTTCGTGAATAATCAAGGATGAGTATAAGCTCAACAAGAATAACATTAGAAGTTGGTGAGGTTGATTCACCTGCCCGAACTTGGTAAATATTTGTCACTCCTACTGCGATAGCAACAAACCTCAACGCCAACAACTATTGTTTGA